CCCCCCCAAACCCGGCTCCGGAGGGTGACCGGCGCCCCCTCCGGCATTCCCGAGCTCCGGCTGATCCCAGAATTCCCGTTGGCAGGTCCCGGATCCGGCGCTGAGACCAGCGGGGCTCTACTGCAACCAGCTCAACTCCAGCGAGCTGCTCAAGGCAGAGGCAGACGGGGCCCAGGTCAGTAAAGATTCCCAGAAAAAAGGGCTGGAGATGGTGGAGATTCCCAAAAAAGTGACTGGAGGGGCCCCAGGATGGTGGAGATTCCAAAAGGATGGTGGAGATTCCCAAAAAAAAATGGCTGGAGGGCCCCCAGGATGGTGGAGATTCCCCAAAAAAATGGCTGGAGGTCCCCAGGATGGTGGAGATTCCCAAAAAAATGGCTGGAGAGCCCCCAGGATGGTGGAGATTCCCAAAGGATGGTGGAGATTCTCCAAAAAATGGCTGGAGATGGTGGAGATTCCCTAAAAAAATGGCTGGAGATGGTGGAAATTCCCAAAAAAATGGCTGGAGGGCCCCCAGGATGGTGGAGATTCCCAAAACCAGTCCCACCATCATTGGGTGACACCCTTTGGGGTTGAAGCCACCACGGTCCCACCAGGGGTTGAAGTTTCCACGGTGCCACCAGTGTTGGGTGATGACGAACCCTTGGGGTGGGTGACAACCAACCCTCGGGGTTGAAGCCACCACAGTCCCATGAATGTTGAGTGACACCCCTTGGGGTTGGAGTCACCACAGTCCCACCAATCTTAGGTGACACCCCTTGGGGTTGAAGCCACCACAGTCCCACCACCATTGGGTGATGACCAACCTTTGGGGTTGAAGTCACCACAGTCCCACCACCATTGGGTGACAACCAACCTTTGGGGTTGAAGCCACCGTGGTCCCACCAGTGTTGACATCACCTGGGGTTGAGGCCACCACAGTCCCACCACCAATGGGTGACAACCAACCCTTGGGGTTGAAGCCACCACAGTCCCATGAATGTTGAGTGACACCCCTTGGGGTTGGAGTCACCACAGTCCCACCAACATTGGGTGACACCGCTTGGGGTTGAAGCCACCACGGTCCCACCACCACTGGGTGATGACCAACGTTGGGGTTGAAGCCACCACGGTCCCACCAGTGCTGAGTGACACCACTTGGGTTGAAGCCATCACAGGTCCCACCAGAGTTGGGTGACACCTCTTGGGGTTGAAGCCATCATGGTCCAACCAATCTTAGCTGACACCACTTGGGGTTGAAACCACCATGGTCCCATCAGGGGTTGAAGCCTCCACGGTCCCATGAATGTTGAGTGACAACCAAGCCTTGGGGTTGAAGCCTCCATGGTCCCTCCACAGTTGGGTGACATCCCTTGGGGTTAAAGTCACTGTGGTCCCACCAGCACTGGGTGACAACCCCTGAGGTTGAAGCCACCACAGTCCCATGAATGTTTAGTGACAATCCTTGGGATTGAGGCCACCACAATCCCACCAATGTTGGGTGACTCCGTGGGGTTAAAGCCACCACAGTCCCACCAGCGTTGGGTGACACCCCTTGGGGTTGAAGCCACCACAGTCCCAGCACCACTGGGTGATGACCAACCCTTGGGGTTGAAGCCACCACAGTCCCAGCACCATTGGGTGATGACCAACCCTTGGGGTTGAGGCCACCACAGCCCCACCAGGGGTTGAGGCCACCACGGTGCCACCAGTGTTGGGTGATGATGAACCCTTGGGGTGGGTGACAACCAACCCTTGGGGTTGAAGCCGCCACAGGTCCCACCAGAGTTGGGTGACACCACTTGGGGTTGAAGCCACCACGGTCCTACCAATCTTAGGTGACACCCCTTGGGGTTGAACCCACCACAGTCCTACCAGTTTTGGGCTACACCCCTTGGGGTTGAA